CTGGCCGCCCTGGAGCCAGGACCACCCCGCACCCGAGGAGGGTGAGGAGATGAGGGGAGTCACGCAGCACGAGGCAGACACGGACCTGGCCTCCACCTCAAGGGCTAGCTCGGTACCAGCAGAGCAAGGCGACCCTCCCACTCCGACAACATCCCAGGTCATCTTCATCCCAGCATCGCCAGCGCCTCCGAGTGAGAGGTCTCTCGCGCCCAAAGTACCCATCGGAAATGATGAGCAGCGCGGCCTGCATCCCAGCAGAGTGCGGAAGCGGCAGCAGCCAGCATCGAAAGGCAGTACGAGGGCATCGACATCCTCACGCGCCAGCACACCTCATCCGCCGCCGCAGCTGCAGCCCTCGAGGAGGCCTTTGGACCTGCGCCAGCATTTCCAGGAGAAGACACCAGCCAGGCTTATAAGGGTCAGCGAGTAGATTCGGGAGAGACAGGCATAGCACGTTTTCGTGGCCGAGTGGCCCGCAGGAGGGACGAGGCAAGGGGCACAGCAACCCCCTCCCCTCCTGCAACTCCTGGAGCCGAGGAGCAGGCAGCAGCAGCACCCGCCGAACCCCGCCAAAGGGGTGGGGGGGGCCTAGCAGCGCCGCCAGGCACCAGGATATGCATGACAGATTTCACGGCCAGGAGGCGGCCGATGAGTCCGACGGGGCAGAGCACGACGGATGTGGGCTTCCTTCACGCTCTCCGATCAGCTTGACAGCATCGATCTCCTGCGCAGCATTGGGGAGAGCAGCTGGGGCCCAAGGGCTACAGTACGGCAGTGGGGTCCTCCACTACGATGCTCAACCTACCAACCCTCAGAGGCCTGAAAACACGGCGGGCCCTGGGGCAATGTGTGACAGCCGTCTAGTAAGACACATACCAGCAGAGATTGCGACAGTTTCACCCACCAGAGCAGCGACTCCCAGGAGGTCAGGGTCCCGAGGGGCCACGACTCCAACTAGGGGCGCTACCGTAGCTGGCGTTGGCAGTGGGAGGACCACTCCCAGACGCAGCAGCCAGCAACTTGAGCGTTCCCAGTCACCAGGGTCTCGAAGGGCCAATGTGACACCGCCACGGCCGACACGAGGGCCGCCCGCCGCGTCTCGAGGGGCGCCAGGCGGCATCGAAGGAGGCAAACTACCAGGGAGGAGTGATGCACCCATCAGTCAGTCAGTACCTAAGGTCACAAGCCACCGAGATGGCTGCAAGGATGCGTTACCGGCTGCCCTTGCACAAAGGACGCCTCCCTCCGCCATCCGAGTTCACGAGATTGAGGATGCTGACAGCACCTTTCTCGATGGCCAAAGCTCGAATGGCAGTGAGGCCGAGGTTGGCACGGAGCAACAGTATGAGCAATGGAAGCAAGCGCGAGCAGTTGCGGCCTTCCAATCAGCCCAGCGGCGAGCACGCCGTGCACGGCGCGCTGCCGAGAGCCACAGTGGTCGGGACGACAGCAGCACCTACAACCAGTACCGAGCCCTGGTGATGGATCACGGACACAGAGCCCACACCCGATCCAACCACGCCAGCGACCAACAGCAATCAAATAAGCAAGAAGGCAGTCCAACCTGGCGGGCTTGCACGGGGTCCCCTCACACTGCAAGGCCGCTGACGGGCGGATCTGCTTCCCACAGGATCGAGCAGATGCGGGACCGTTCCCCCTTGCAGGTGCGAAGGCCTGGCAGCAAGCCTCCGTCGGGAGGGTGGTCGATGCCTTGCTCCCAGGCCAGGGGCGCCGTCCAAGGGTGCCCGAGGCGGGACCTCAACGGCAGCGGCACTGCTCAGAGCACAGGGTGGAGACCAACGCCTCGGCCACCACCGAGCAGCAGCACACACAGCATCCCACCTACGGCCACAGCATTGCCTGACGAAGAAGCCAACCTTGCCCCAACCAACACCCATACGCTGGACCAACGAACCAAGCCCCAACACCCACCAACCGAGCAACCTCACGACCTAGCCGAGCCCGAGCAGCACACAGTGCCTACTACGACCTGCCCAAGTTGGCGCGCTGGCGCGGGGTCGCCTCACACTGTAAGGCCGCCGACGGGCGGACCTGCTCCCCAGAGGGTAGAGCAGCTGCGGGATCAATCCCCCTTACAGGTGCGTAGGCGTGAGGGCATGCCTCCGACGGGAGGGTGGTCGAAGCCGTGCTCTCGCGCCAGCGATGTCGTGTTGGGGCGTCCAACCAGGTACAGCGACTACCAAGCCGATCCAGTACCACCATCGGCCCCAGCCCCGACAAACCCACACAGTTCACCGCGACCAGCCAGGTGGAGGCCAACGCTCCTCTCGGCATCAGCTGGCTCCCACCACGGCATGGGCGCCACTGACCACTCCGACGCCCCGGTTGGCAATCCTCATCGTCTACGTGACAGCATGCTCCATGCCCAATCACACGAGCTCCTGTTCAGTCAGGCCGTGCGGGCTGGATCGGACAACTTGAACTTCGATGAGGGGGGCCATCAACCGCCACCACTACCTTTGGAGTGGAGTGCGCCTCAGGCTGGGGTCTCACCTCTCGCCCCAGCTGCCCACGCGGTGCCATCACAGCTACCTTCAGCCCGTGCTCCCAGCACATCAAGCCCCACCCTACATGGCACGGGATCAGTGTCGGCCGACGACGTCGAGTACTCCCCCGAGTACGTCCGTGCTGAGAGAGCCAGGCGCGGCCGAAGGCAACGGCAGCCCTCCACTACGGCAGCACCAGACAGAGGCCAACCTGCAGTGCTACCAGTTCTCAGCCAAGACTCAGTAGCAGAGACCCTGCGAGGCCGAGGCCGCGTCAATGTCTGCGCCGACGTCGACACCGCGACCCTCCACAACATGGCAAGGCTAGCGCTGGAGATGTGCCCATCACGTGAGCTTCCGACCAAGCGCACGCACATCTACACAGACGGCAGCTACAACGGCACCCCACACACAGCAGCCTGGGCAGTAATCATTGTCGACGAGTATGACGACGGGCGCAGCTCACGAGGCCCGTTCGGCTTTCGGGGCTTCGTTGCTGGCAAGGTCACCGAGTCTCTCACGGCTGAGCTCACGGCAGTGCTGTGGGCACTCATGTGGGCCCTTGGTCAAGACACCACCGCCCCCATCGAGATCACGCCTGACGCCCTCAACGTTATCAATTTGGCCAAAGGGGATGCCCAATGCCACGTACATCCACGGCTCGGTGCCGCCATTCGGTCGCTTGCTGGCCTCCTCCAAGAAGCTCGACCTACTCAGTGGCATCATATTAATTCGCATATTGGCCACCCTTGGAATGAGCTTGCAGACGGGGTAGCAGATCAAGCTTCGGCCACCGACCTGGTGGACCCGAATCTAGCAGCAGTGCAGGCGGTCGCGCACAACAAGTTCCTTTCCTGGGAGTGGTTTCGCTCAGCGCCTGATGCCGTCAAGGCCGCCTACCCTCCCATGCGAAATCAAGCCTTCATCATTGGAGCCACCCAGCCCCAGGCAGCCCCCAGTGCGATCCAGCGGCCCATCAGCACGACCGCCATCAAGGCCGACCTCAGCTTGAATCTGTGCACCTACAATTGCAGATCACTCAAAGCCGCCGTCAACTTAAGTCGGGCAAAGGCAAGGCGGCCAGCAAAAGCAAGCAGAGCATCTCCAATGTTACGCACCTAGCAGCACAATTTTCGGATATGGGCCTACATGTGGTGGCCCCCCAGGAGACGCAGAGCGACGGAGATGTCCGCAACGTTGGAGAATATGTCTGCTACTCCTCAGGCCATGCGCAGCAGAACAGAGGATGCGACATTTGGCTCAACGTCTCCCAGCCGATCAGCGTGGGCGGGGTCGCGAGGTACCTAAGCGCCAAAGATACCCTTGTCCTCCACCAGCACGACAGGCTCTTGATGATCAAGACCCGCGTGGCAGGCACGGACATGGTCATCGCCTCCGCGTACGCCCCCCATGAAGACTCCCAGGCGGCTGAGAAGACAGAGGTTCTGGGAGTCTGCCCAGCGACTGGCTGCCAAGTACCACGTGGACATCTTCATGGGGGACCTGAACGGGCGTCTCGGCGACTACGAGTCCCCAGGAGTTGGCACCGGTGGGTATCCAGAACCGACCAATGGCAACGGCAAGCACATCATTAGCTTCGCAGCCGACACCGACATGGAGGTCATCAACACCACGAAGGATCCAGGAAGCAATTCGTATACGCATATTGGATCTAAGGGGCAGTGCCACAGGATCAACTACATCCTGCTGAGCTCCTATATCGCCCCGTACGTTGCGAGCTGCAGCACGGAGCCAGGTCTTGACCGAGGCACCGCTGCACAAGACCACGTACCAGTACTCGCCACCCTCAAGTGGGCCGTCTGCAAGACCACCAAGGCCTCAGGGCCGCGGCCCGATCTGACCAACCTAAACAATGATGACGCCAAGGCCAGCTTCAAGGAGATTCTCAAGCAGGCCCCGATCATCCCCTGGGAGGTGGACGTCAACACCCACTGCGAGGAGGAAACCAGAGTCGTCAACAACGCGGCCATCCAGGCCTTCGGCAAGGCCGTCAAGGCAGCGAGGAAGCCCTACGTCACCAAAACCACCATGGGCCTCATCCGAGCCAGGCGCCTCGCACTTCGAGTCCATCGTGCAGTGCTCAGAGGAGAAGCCCATGACGACCGACCTGGACGATTGGTAGCCCGCGCCCACTCCCTTCTTGGAGGCGAGGTCGGGGCCTCATTGGCCCTGTGGAGCACAGAGCGTGGCGACGACGACGGCACCATCCTCGACATCCACAACTACGCGCACCTCCTCCTGAACTGGACGATCTCGCCCATGGTTTACGCCATGGCCATCCACTCCTTCCTCGCTAGGTCTGGGCTGCTCACTGCCTCGGCCGTCGAGAAGGACCGCAGCGCCTTCCTCAGCCGGCTAGCCTCAACTGCGTCCTCCGCCTCTGCTGCGAACGACGCGGCGGCCCAGTGGAAGGCCGATTGTGACCTATGAAAGTATGGCGGGAAGAAGGCGCGGTTTCCAGCAGGAAAGCCGATGAGACTGGACAAGAACGGAGAGGTGGTCCACAACTCCCAGGACATGGCGGACCAGGAGCTCAACCATTTCGCGAAGATACAGGCAGGCAAGATCGTGACAGCGGACGACCTTGCCCATAAGTATAATCAGGACAGCAAGACCAGGCCCTTCGACGGCACGCTGGATCTCTCCATGGTGATGCCCCTGTCCGTCTGCCAGGCCCAGTTCGCCGCGGCCAAGGCTGGGGCGCAAGGAGGCCCTGACGGGCTCACGAACGCCATCCTCAGGGCGGCTCCTGCAGAGGCAGCCACGCTGCTACACCCCCTCTTCACCAAGGTGGCGACCGCGGTGCGGGAGCCGCTGAGCTTCAAGGGCGGGGATCTGGTCGCCATCCCCAAAGGCAAGGGCGACCCCCGCTATCTCCTAGCCTACCGCGAGATCCTCTTAAACAATGTCCTGGGCAAGCACCGCCACAAATACCTGAGGGCCATGCTCAACGCCACCCTCGCCATAGCGCTGGAGAACATCCAGGTTGGCGGCCGGCCCAAGCGAGGGGCTGACATGGCGGTCCTAGCAGCGCGCCTCTTCACCGAGAGAAGCCAGGCCCAGGGGAAGTGCTCCATGATCAGCTGCTACGACCTAAAGGAGGCTTTCTACTCGGTTGTCGTCCAGCTGGTCCACGGCATCCCAGGCGAAGAGGACGAAGTCAGGGAGGTGCTCGACAACCTAGAAGTTCCCCTGTGGGCCCAGCCGCAGCTGGAGCACCTCATGGCCAACCCAGGGATACTCGACACCGTGCTGGATGGCTCCCACCTGGCTGCCCTCATTGCCGAAGGGTATCGCAACAGGTGGACATCGCACAGGTTCACCCAGAGCTTCATGGCGCCGCACAAAGGCACGAGGCCTGGCGTGCCCCTCGCCGACGCGGACTTCAATCAGCTCTTTGGCCGCGTCCACCGCATGATCGACAGCTACCTTGCACAGCGAGGGCTAAGGGCCCAGGGCAGACCCCTGGAGAGTAGCTTCGCATGCGCCACCGACCCTACAGACGGACCGCTCCAGGAGCACGAGCCCCACGGCCTATCGTTCGTCGATGACCTCACGGGCATGCACGTGTTCACCAGCCGTGACCACATTCAGACTGAGGCCGCGGGGTTCTGCGAGGCCGTCTACTGCGCCACCAGCACCTTCGGCCTCCAGCTGCAGCTCACCAAGACCAAGGTGATGATCGACTTCAGTGGGCCTGGAAGCCGGCAAGCTCGGGCCAACTTCTATTCCAATGGAGTGCCGAAGATTGCGGTCCCCCTGGCGGAGAGCCACGTCGAGGTAGTCCGCCACCACAAGCTCCTCGGGACCTACGTAGCCGACAACGCATCTCCTGGGGTGGATGTCGCAGTGAAAGTAGCTACCGCTGCGACATCCACGCGGCCTCTCCATCGTGAAGTCCACCGTCGTTCAGAGCTGGCCGTCAAAGACACGGCCTACCTAGCCGACAGCGTGGTGCCATCCCAGCTGCTATACAACGCGCCCACCCGGCCCGAACTCACAGCAGGCCAGGCCAGGAACTTCAACAACCAGTACATCGTGAACTACGCTGCCGCACAGAGGGTTACATGGAAAGTGCGACAGAAGAAGGAGGCCACAAACACCCAGATCCTCGAAGGAGTCGACAAGCTGCCCCCCGAGATCGTCCTACGCCTCGAGAGACTTCGGCTATTCGGTAGAAGCCTCAACTGGGGTCCCCTTCACCTCCGTCGACTACTCAGCCAGGCATGGGACGGGAGTTATGGTTGGGTAGCATTGCTCCGCCGCGATTTAGACCGGGTCCGCGACCACACAGGACCTGACGAGCGTGGTGGAGCATACACACTCGACGACTGGAAGGACTGGGCCAGGAATGACTACAAAAGCTACCTCAGCGCAGTCAAGAAAGCTTGCCAACGCGGAAAAGCCCGCCAGTACGATCACGACCACCACGCCCGATGGCGGCTACGACTCCAGCGTTGGACCAACACGGAAGCCATCTCGCCCTTCCCAGACCAGCACTTCGAGCAGCAGCGCAAGTACCTCTGCTACCACTGTGGACGTACAGAGCTCAGTGCAGCAGTATTACGAGCCCACATCACCAAGGACCACACCTCGTCGGGGCATCCCATCTCGTGGGCAACTGGCTCGGTCTGCTACGGATGCGGCATGGACTACCACGCCACGAACAGACTGGTCAAGCACTTGCTGCGTGTGCGCAGGTGCGCTCGACACTGGAGAAGAACACGTCCAGCGCTTCTCAGTAAATCCAAGCTGCAGCACAACCAGCAAGTGGTGCGAGACCAACAGCAGGCGAATAGAAGGGCTGGCAGGCCCATTGACTGGGCCGAGAAGCCTGCAGTCCCTGCTCGTCCTCCAGAGATACACGCGGACGATGACAGCGACGACAGCAATAGCGGCCACCACCAGGACCTCGAGCTCCCCTTCATCGAGGAACCGCCGCCGCCGCCAGCTACTGTACCCAGGCCTACGC